GGGGAAGGGGCAGCGGCAGGCTGGAGCCCTGGCCAGAGGACAGTGCCTTGGGAACATGGGCTGTGCCCCTGCAGCTCCATTTGTCCCCAGCGAGGCGGGTCTGAAGCCACACCTGCATCCTTCGGGCACCTCGTCCCAAAGAGGGACTGGGAAAGCCAGGCCATGCTGTTCAGTGTCCCATGGCATACCTCAAAATTTTCCTGGTAGTATCACCCTACTTACAGACTTGGTTTTTTAGAGATTTAAGAAGATTGAAGATTAAATTGAAGATTTGTATTTCAATTACAACATTTTCATACTTCCAAAATATGATAAACAAAGAAAGGGACAGCTCTTCAGCTACCAAATCCTATGGGAATTGAATGCTAATACAACTGTTTGCTGAGACTATTCAGTTTTTTTTTCCGTTATTTTTAAGTTCATCCATCTCTGTATCCACAAACACACTCGAGTATTTCCTTGCAGAATAAAACCCCAGCACATCTTATTAAAAAATAAAAAAAAAGAAACCATGCCATGCCTCTAAGTCCCGCAGCAAAGTAAAAACTGAGACAAAGTTTCAGTCTTGCTCGCGGAGTTACCCACCACTCCGTGTACTTCAGCTACTGCATTATTTCTCAGTTTCATTATATATCTGTAACATTTTTAATTTCCTTTAGGATCACTTCTGTTTGGAGTGGAGCAAAAATGGAGGCGGAGGGGAGGTCTATTGATAGACATTACTTGAGCCACCAACTGAATGTGTGAAGCCACTCAGAAACCGTAGCATATATATGGGATACCCAAGAAAAAACAGGCAGAGAAATCCATTAAGCCTGGGACAGGCTCTTTTCACTTTTCCTTTTGTTCACATGACTAGTGCTGCTGTGACACTTTGTCTTGTACTGTCAGGAGGTTTTTGTAGCTTTGCTCTCTTTCTACATACCTGCAGCTACTACACAACCCGAGTAACTGGATAAAAATAAAACGCTTTCTGCCAGACCTGGAGTAAGAGAGAGCTGCTGGTCCTGCCAGGTGCTGGCTAAAACCAAAAGAAGGCACGAGTGAAGAGCCCCGCAGGTGTTCCATGGCTGTACACCGCAGGAAGAACAGTCCTGATGGGCAGGAAATCCTGCCAGGACACCATGAGCGCCAGGCCAGTCCTGCCGTTTGTCTGACTTTGGGCTTGTTCATCTTCCTGTGTAGCCTTAACCGTACAAATTTGAGCCATTTTCATTAACTTCTCAGTAGTTTTAAATTTCAGTTCAAAGCAAGGTATAAGAAAGATGGGGATAAACTTTTTAACAGGGCCTGCAGCAACAGGACACGGGGTAATGGTTTTAATCTAAAGGAGGAGAGGTTTAGATCAGAGGTAAGGAAGAAATATTTGACGCTGAGGGTGGTGAAACACTGGTCCAGGTTGCCCAGGGAGGTGGTAGATGCCCCATCCCTGGAAACATTCAAGGTCAGGTTGGACGGGGCTCTGGGCAACCTGGGCTAGTGGGAGGTGTCCCTGCTCACTGCGGTGGGGTGGGACTGGATGACCTCCGTGGTCGCTTCCAACCCAAACTGTTCTATGATTCAATGATTCTATGAAATCCTCCTTTGTAGGCAGTGCCTCGCACTGTAAACTCCTTCCATAAAAAAAAGGGAGATACATTCCTTTTGTGTTCTTCTAAATGGTGCTGAGACCCTCCTGAAACATGCTGAATGCCTTCCAAACCCAACGCACCTACACTCCTCAAGAGGACTCTCACTGGAACGGAGCTGGGAGGGTTATGAAATCGCAGTTCTATGCCTTGCATCGCCAAGGATCGTTGCCGACCCCTCACCCCACCAAAGAATCCAGGAGGCTTTCTCCTTACAGAGATGAAACATGATGAGGACACGCTGTTTAACATTTCCAGTGCAGTGGTGAGGCACCATAGTTTCAAGCTGATCCAAGAGAATACCTCTGATAATGGCTTTTTTGGAGAGAACCATGGACGCAATTGAGTTTATCAGATAGCGTCAAGAGAACAGAGTTGCCTTTTGCCCAGACTCAATTCTAAACCAATGTTCACATCAAATCAGACAGTCTGTAAAGAGAAGTGGTGTACATGGCAAGAACTGATTCCTCTCTAAAGTCTGACACTGTTAATTCATGCCGGTTTTTCCGCCTTAGGCATAAGCAAGGTTATTTTTTGGACAGTAGGACAAATGCATGAATACTCTGCATTTCTTTGCTATGTAACACCACTACCCTCTCTCTAAAGTTATATCTGTTCTTTCTGGCTTAAACTGTCTTATGGTTGTTGTTTTTTCTTAAACATATATAAAAAATGATATTTTTTTCTGAATATTGGGCACCACACTCCAACAGACATGCTAACAAATGAGTACAAATAAATACATAATATAGCTTCAGAGAATCGTTCTATAGCTTTGGAGAAGAGTGGCACATTTTGAAACACGATGGAAGCTTTACAGCTGGAGTTTGGCAGCATTTTCAGCCTATTAAAATCTCATAAGATCACTGAGATCAGGCATTGTAAAGATGTGCCAGATGATATATTAAATTTTAATCACATTTTAAAATAACAGTAAAAATTTTATTTAAATTCTTAATAAAGAATTAAGTCTTCAAAGTTAGCTCCTCTGGGATAAAACTACAATATGCTATTTCTTTATTATTGAATTTCATATTAAAACTCTCATGGCTCAGTGTCCCACGGTTTTTCCCCTCTGCAATATAATATCTAGTTTTGTACTGGAATGGATTAATTTGTACATTATTAGAGTGGGAAGTAACTTTACCTGATGGGGAAGATCAGCACTGGAAAAAGTATTAGAAATGTGGACAGTACGTCTTCCAAGTTAGGGGAGAAAAGGTAAACAGTGATATTAAAATTGATTTTATGTTTTGTTTTTACTGTCTTACTGTTCTTACTCTCAGAGTCTGCTTGCTTTGAGCAGCGTGATTCTGCAGATACTGATCACTTGTGTGTTTGGGTTGATGAGCATGTTCAGGGGGGTCTGGACACAAAATTCAGCAGCTATGTAATTAGTCGTCACGTGGTGGGGCATACAGTGTTCCCACCAACAGTGATAACCATACCATGCAAGAAAAGACCATTAAAGCCAAGGATGCAACAGACCTTGGTCTTCTGTGAGGGCTTCAACAGAGTCCCATAACACACCCCACCGCTTGGAGC